TATACACATCTAGATGTGTATAAGAGACAGCCCCAACCCCAGCCCCCCCCCCCAGACCAATCCCCCATCCCCCCACCAAAACCAAAATTTTATTGCAGATTCGGGGTCCTCTCGCTGAGCGCAGAACGACCCCGGTTTCAAGAAAAAAAAAAAAAAAAAAAAAAATCTGGGCGGTTTTTTGTCCTGCCCGGTTTACCCGGGCGCCCCCCCCCCGGGCCCGTCCTCACTCAGCTTGACTTATTACAACAAGAACTGGAAATCGGGTCCAGTGTACCTTACAGGTACAAAACTCAAACACGCCTCTCTCCGTCACTGCCGAGAGAGGACCTTAACAACGATATTGATTGCTTCCTCACAGGAAGGTTGTACCCCTGTGCTGCCCCTGCTTGTTTCCTGAGCCTTCAGCCATTGGCATTAACGTCCTTACTTGACCCATCGTTCCCTATCATGAGCTAATTTCAAAATCAGACCCGATGTACGGACCAGTTTCACAGCGGCACAGCCTGGGCTCTTCCCTTCAGCCCTCGCAGTTCCTGGCAGCATTGATTACCCTAGGAGACCCCAGGGCAATGACTGCCCAGGCCGTAAGAAAATTTGTACAAACAGCCAAACAGCAGAACCTTCACAATCATTATTGTGAGAGAACAACATAGCTGCTGGGATCAGAGCCTGAAGAAGAAGAAGAAGAAGAAGAAGAAGAAGAAGAAGAAGAAGAAGAAGAAGAAGAAGAAGAAGACGGAGGAGGAGAAGGAGGAGGAGGAGGAGCAGCAGAAGAAGAAGAAGAGGAAGAAGAAGAAGAAGAAGAAGAAGAAGAAGAAGACGGAGGAGGAGGAGCAGCAGAAGAAGAAGAAGAGGAAGAAGAGGAAGAGGAAGAAGAAGAAGAAGAAGAAGAAGAAGAAGAAGAAGAAGAAGAAATCAAGCTAAGAAAACTCTTGCCGCACAAACCTAGTCGAAGTAGCATATGATTTGGGAGCACGTAACCAACACTTTCATCCTCCTTGCGAGCGACTCTATCACGCCATGCATACAATCCCTGATAAAAAATAGCCACAAATCAAACAAAGACTTGAACCGTCAGTTCATTTAGATATTCCGTCACCATAAAAATGGAAAAGAACTGCCTTTCAGTGGTGGGAAACGATTACCACATCCCTAAAGGGATCACAATGGGTCCATTTATTTCCTTGCAAATCTAGAGAAAGCTTTGAGATTGGCGGTATCAGGAGATATTCAGACTACGTCTTCTTGGGATGCATCTGCGTGCAATTACAACCACATTCAATCAAAAAAGGGCCGGTGTGAGTATCCTCATAGTCTTGATTGACAGGAACAAGGAGGTTGGACCATCCTATCATCATGAAAACACCTTCTGATTGCAGACTAAACATTGAAACACAAATAAACCAATGTAGACGCTGCTGCTACCTGATGCGGGGGTGGGGGCCGATAAAAAGGGAAGCACATCCATTGGCAAAATGCTCGGTCTTTGCGTTAGCAGGACCTTCACTGGCGGGCCCAACCCTGCACCCTTAACCAGAAGGGCAAGGGGCAATATGCAATATCCCCTTCACCATGAGAGAGAGCTATGCTTGCAGGGGTCCCTTTTCTATAGCCTTAGGAGTAGGTAGGTAGCGAAAGGAGAAAAAAATTGAGAGAAGAATAGAGTGTGTTTATTGAAAACAAAAAAAAAAAAATCTTAAGCCACTAGTACCTTTGTCCGTTCGGAAAATAGTGGGCCTCCGACCTTTCAGGAGGCCGAAACAAAACGACGGCCGCCGATCAGATTTATCAACGGCAACCGTTCTCGGGCCCGGCCTCCTAAAAGTTCGGGAATAGGCTAAAACTTGCCGAAATGAAACGGCCAAGGTACTAGTGGTTTAAAGAGGGGCACTACCGTCTTCACCCAAAAAGAACACCTGGTCATTATACGTGTACTTGGGGCAGCTTTAACTCTAGGTACAGCTATAAGGACTGGGCATTCTATTCGGGTGAAGACAGTAGTCAAGGCAGCTCCATTGCAAGTTCAAATGAAAAAGACAAAACCATAAAGGCTCAAGGACCCGACAACTTGGCAGATGAGGTTATCTTGTAACTGGGCTTCAGCCTTTCAGAAGAAGAAGACGAATACAGTCTTCTGATGCTACTTAGTCAACACTGCTCAACAGGGGTCCAATACATAGTCTGTCTGCTGAACCTGTCTAATGCGAGTCCCCTTCTTTGTTTTGGGTTCCTTGGGAAGGAAGCCAAGTCCTGCATTCCTTACAAAAATGCACACACTCACTCTTCCGTCCGCTATGGCGGATGGAGCCTGAGACAAGGAATTGAAGGATTTAACCCCTGCACCCCTGCAATCTTCCCGTTATTGTGCGCACCTAAAAGTCTGCCTGCTTCACTCCTCTCAACCTTGGTTGGCTGCCTCATATCCTAGTTTGCCTCGACAGCTGTTGTCACCTACAGATCGAAGTTACAATAGCTATCTTAGTCCCTCCGTTGCAATCTCGTAAGTGTCTAATGCCTTCGTTTCGTCATGTGCCTGTCCTTGCCCTTGTCTGTATACTCTCCACTACGCCGTGCCGTCTGCTCCTCTTCTTCTTCTTCTTCTTCTTCTTCTTCTTCTTCTTCTGCGTCTTCGTCTTCCAACCCACATGCCTTCGCCCGCATGCCTTCCAACCCACTTGCCTTCGCCTTTGCATCCAGCCCGTCCGCCTTCCAACCTCACGCGCCTTCCAACCCGCGTGCCTTCGTGTCCAGCCCACGCACAGAGAGGAAAGCCATAGCGACAGTTTTTCTTCTTCTTCATGCTCTTCTCCGCGCGCGCACGTGAGAGAGAGAGAGAGAGAGAGAGAGAGAGAGAGAGAG